CGTGGTGGGTATGTGTGTCCTCGCTTGAGCCAATTTGCACGAAGCTTTTTGCTTCTTCTCTTTCACCTTCCCCATCTTCTTCTCTTCTAGCAGATGATACACTAGAAGCATCTCTTTGGGAGAGGAAGAAAGCCTATTTATAATCTTCTGCACACACTCCAATATCTAAGCAAGCTTGTTGGTTACTGGCTACTAATTGCATTAAAAGGCAGGAACTAATCCAGACCCTGAAAACGTGTGCCCTAAGCTCTCTAAAGAAATAGAGTGGATCAAGAGAAGACAGGCCACAGATTAGGACCTCATGAAATTCAAAATGAAGTTGCACCCTGAGAGATTTACAATGAAAATCTGCTAGTCCATAACACAAGTTAATTTCATTGGAAGGTCATTTTGCTTATAGAAGCTGTACTGCATTGAATAGTGCCCCCCCAAAATTCATGTTCCACCCAGAATCCCAAGATGGGATCTTATCTGGAAATAGTTCTTTGCAGATACAATTAGTAAAGATGAGCTACACTGGGCTAAGGGAGGCCCTAAGTCCAGTGACTAGTCTCCTTGTAATAAGACAATGTGAAGGCATGGAGGAGAAGGGAAGGCCATAGGTAGACAATGGCAGAGACTGGAATGGTGTTTCCACAAGTCAAGGAACACCGAGGCTTGCCAACAACCCACCAGAAACCAAGAAGAAGCAAAGACATATCCTCTCCTAGAGCCTTGACAAGGAGTGTGGCCCTGTCAACACCTTGACGGCAGACTTCTGGCCTCCAGGGCACTTAATCTTATTCAACAGAATAAGTTTCTGTTGACGGAAGCCATCCAAGCTTGTGGTGCAGCCACTCTAGGAAACTCTTACTCGGGGGGATGTGTCAAAACTGTACTGGGAAGGGAAGGTGCCTGTGAACCTGTGAGCAGAGGGGACACTGCACACCCTCCTCGTGTCCCTTGACCCCATTCAACGAAGTCCATTAGTGCTATATCTAGCACCCTATGTGAGGATTAGTGACGGCAGAGCTACTTTGAGGACTGTCCTCTCTGCCAACTCACATTCCAAAGCCAAAAGCCATTCTGTACTGGATAATATTGTTTTCTTCTTGAAATTCTCTTTATTAAAGGTATTGTTCCCAGGGCTAGAGGATGTCGAGGCTGAAATTTCTATTTAAAGGTAAGTGCTCACAGCTGTGAGGGCCATGCAGGAACAGGAAACCACACAACCCATTGTCATTTCCGTAACATCAGGGCAGTATAAAAGAGTCAAAAAAAAAAA